TCATTCAGTGACCTTAAACTTGAATTTAGCAATCCCTAAGTGACCTTGAACTTTTCGATAAGGCAGTAATCTTGAACTGTATTCTCTTTATGTGACCTTGAAATTCACACTCTTCCAATGACCTTGAATTTTACCTCAATTAAGTGATCTTGAACTTTACTCTCACTCAGTGACATTGAACTTTATGCTCAGTGACCTTGAACTTTACAATCAATCAGTGACCTTGAACTTTACAATCACAGTGACCTTGCACTTTATAATCACTCTGTGACCTTGAACTTTACAATCATTCAGTGACCTTGAACTTTATACTCAATGACCTTTAACTTTACAATCACAGTGACCTTGAACTTTACAATCAATCAGTGACCTTGAACTTTTCAATCACAGTGACCTTGAACTTTATAATCAATCAGTGACCTTGAACTTTTCAATCACAGTGACCTTGAACTTTATAATCACAGTGACCTTGAACTTTATAATCACAGTGACCTTGAACTTTACAATCAATCAGTGACCTTGAACTTTTCAATCACAGTGACCTTGAACTTTATATTCACTCAGTGATCTTCAACTTTATAAACACTCAATGACCTTGAACTTTATACTCAATGGCCTTGAACTTTACACTCAATGACCTTGAACTTTACACTCAGTGAACTTAAACATTACATTCGGTAATCTTGAACTTTCCAATTACTCAGTGAACTAAAGTTTTATTAACTAAATCTAATGTTGAACTTAACACTCTTATTTAACATTGAACTTAACCCTCTCAATGTAACTTTGAACTTTACCCAGATAATGTAACTTTGAACTTTACCCAGATAATATAACTTTGAACTTTACCCAGATAATGTAACTTTGAACTTTACCCAGATAATGTAACTTTGAACTTTACCCATACCCAGATAATGTAACTTTGAACTTTACCCAGATAATATAACTGAACTTTACCCAGATAATGTAACTTTGAACTTTACCCAGATAATGTAACTTTGAACTTTACCCAGATAATGTAACTTTGAACTTTACCCAGATAATATAACTTTGAACTTTACCCAGATAATGTAACTTTGAACTTTACCCAGATAATGTAACTTTGAACTTTACCCAGATAATGTAACTTTGAACTTTACCCAGATAATGTAACTTTGAAGGCAACAAACTGAACGTAACTTTAAATTAAACCATCTTAGTGGAATAAAATCTTTAAGTTCATCTTGCGATCGTGAACTTTCTTGTTCATGAATAAACAGAAAGACAGACTGGAAGATCGAACTGCTACTGTCTGTGGCCCTACTGTCTGTCATTGGTACTGTCTGTGGCCCTACTGTCTGTCAGTTGTACTGTCTGTGACCCTACTGTCTGTCAGTGGTACTGTCTGTAACCCTACTGTCTGTCAGTGGTGCTGTCTGTGACCCTACTGTCTGTCAGTTGTACTGTCTGTGACCCTACTGTCTGTCAGTGGTACTGTCTGTAACCCTACTGTCTGTCAGTGGTGCTGTCTGTGACCCTACTGTCTGTCAGTTGTACTGTCTGTGACCCTACTGTCTGTCAGTGGTACTGTCTGTGACCCTACTGTCTGTCAGTGGTGCTGTCTGTGGCCCTACTGTCTGTCAGTGGTACTGTCTGTGACCCTACTGTCTGTCAGTTGTACTGTCTGTGACCCTACTGTCTGTCAGTGCTACTGTCTGTGACCCTACTGTCTGTCAGTGGTGCTGTCTGTGGCCCTACTGTCTGTCAGTGGTACTGTCTGTGACCCTACTGTCTGTCAGTGGTACTGCCTGTGACCCTACTGTCTGTCAGTGGAAGTGTCTGTGACCCTACTGTCTGTCAGTGGTACTGTCTGTGACCCTACTGTCTGCCAGTGGAAGTGTCTGTGACCCTACTGTCTGGAGTTTTACCTGGAGAGAGTTTCGGGGGTCAACGCCCCCGCGGCCCGGTCTGTGACCAGGCCTCCTGGTGGATCAGCGCCTGATCAACCAGGCTGTTGCTGCTGGCTGCACGCAAACCAACGTACGAGCCACAGCCCGGCTGATCCGGAACTGACTTTAGGTGCTTGTCCAGTGCCAGCTTGAAGACTGCCAGGGGTCTGTTGGTAATCCCCCTTATGTGTGCTGGGAGGCAGTTGAACAGTCTCGGGCCCCTGACACTTATTGTATGGTCTCTTAACGTGCTAGTGACACCCCTGCTTTTCATTGGGGGGATGGTGCATCGTCTGCCAAGTCTTTTTGCTTTCGTAGTGAGTGATTTTCGTGTGCAAGTTCGGTACTAGTCCCTCTAGGATTTTCCAGGTGTATATAATCATGTATCTCTCCCTCCTGCGTTCCAGGGAATACAGGTTTAGAAACCTCAAGCGCTCCCAGTAATTGAGGTGTTTTATCTCCGTTATGCGCGCCGTGAAAGTTCTCTGTACATTTTCTAGGTTGGCAATTTCACTTGCCTTGAAAGGTGCTGTTAGAGTGCAGCAATATTCCAGCCTAGATAGAACAAGTGACCTGAAGAGTGTCATCATGGGCTTGGCCTCCCTAGTTTTGAAGGTTCTCATTATCCATCCTGTCATTTTTCTAGCAGATGCGATTGATACAATGTTATGGTCCTTGAAGGTGAGATCCTCCGACATAATCACTCCCAGGTCTTTGACGTTGGTGTTTCGCTCTATTTCGTGCCCAGAATTTGTTTTGTACTCTGATGAAGATTTAATTTCCTCATGTTTACCATATCTGAGTAATTGAAATTTCTCATCGTTGAACTTCATATTGTTTTCTGCAGCCCACTGAAAGATTTGGTTGATGTCCGCCTGGAGCCTTGCAGTGTCTGCAATGGAAGACACTGTCATGCAGATTCGGGTGTCATCTGCAAAGGAAGACACGGTGCTGTGGCTGACATCCTTGTCTATGTCGGATATGAGGATGAGGAACAAGATGGGAGCTAGTACTGTGCCTTGTGGAACAGAGCTTTTCACCGTAGCTGCCTCGGACTTTACTCTGTTGACGACTACTCTCTGTGTTCTGTTAGTGAGGAAATTATAGATCCATCGACCGACTTTTCCTGTTATTCCTTTAGCGCGCATTTTGTGCGCTATTACGCCATGGTCACACTTGTCGAAGGCTTTTGCAAAGTCTGTATAATTACATCTGCATTCTTTTTGTCTTCTAGTGCATTTAGGACCTTGTCGTAGTGATCCAGTAGCTGAGACAGACAGGAGCGACCTGTTCTAAACCCATGTTGCCATGGGTTGTGTAACTGATGGGTTTCTAGATGGGTTGTGATCTTGCTTCTTAGGACCCTTTCAAAGATTTTTATGATATGGGATGTTAGTGCTATTGGTCTGTAGTTCTTTGCTGTTGCTTTACTGCCCCCTTTGTGGAGTGGGGCTATGTCTGTTGTTTTTAGTAACTGAGGGACGACCCCCGTGTCCATGCTCCCTCTCCATAGGATGGAAAAGGCTCGTGATAGGGGCTTCTTGCAGTTCTTGATGAACACAGAGTTCCATGAGTCTGGCCTGGGGCAGAGTGCATGGGCATGTCATTTATCGCCTGTTCGAAGTCATTTGGCGTCAGGATAACATCGGATAGGCTTGTGTTAATCAAATTTTGTGGCTCTCTCATAAAAAATTCATTTTGATCTTCGACTCTCAGTCTGGTTAGCGGCTTGCTAAAAACTGAGTCATATTGGGACTTGAGTAGCTCACTCATTTCCTTGCTGTCATCTGTGTAGGACCCATCTTGTTTAAGTAGGGGCCCAATACTGGACGTTGTTTCTCGACTTTGATTTGGCATAGGAGAAGAAATACTTTGGGTTTCTTTCGATTTCATATATGGCTTTTAGTTCTTCCCGCGATTCCTGAATCCTATAAGATTCCTTTAGCTTAAGTTAGATGCTTGCTATTTCTCTGACCAGTGTCTCCCTACGCATTTCAGATATATTGACCTCTTTTAGCCGCTCTGTTATTCTTTTTCCGTCGCCTGTAAGGGAGCGCCTGTCTCTTTCTATTTTACATCTACTCCTCCTTTTTCTTAGAGGAATAAGCCTTGTGCATACATCGAGTGCCACCAAGTTAATCTGTTCTAGGCATAAGTTGGGGTCTGTGTTGCTTAGTATATCTTCCCAGCTTATATCGGTTAGGACTTGGTTTACTTGGTCCCACTTTATATTTTTTGTTATTTGAAGTTGAATTATGGTGAATGCTCCCTCGTGACTAATCTCATTATGTCGGTCTGGGGCTCCACGCATACATGTCTGAACCTCAATTATGTTGTGATCTGAGTATATTGTTTTTGATATGGTGACATTTCTTATCAGATCATCATTGTTAGTGAAGATGAGGTCTAGTGTATTCTCCAGTCTAGTAGGCTCTATTATTTGCTGGTTTAAATTGAATTTTGTGCAGAGATTTAAAAGCTCGTGTGAGTGTGATTTTCATCAGAGCTGCCTCCTGGTGTTATTACTGCAACAATATAATTTGCTATATTCCTCCATTTTAGGTGCCTTAAGTTGAAATCCCCCAGGAGCAAGATGTTGGGTGCAGGAGCTGGAAGATTTTCCAGCATGCATGTCTTGGTCGGGATAATCATGTATGGATTATTCCATGGAAGTAGTAATCAGAATCTACTTGGAAGCTGCCCTCTATAGGCATTATTTACGTGGATATTACCTTACCTACTCGTGATTAAGAATTACTGACAAAACATTATATTCACCTGATAGCCTGGTATACTGTTTAAAGTCCACACAACAGCCCTTTAACACCAAACAACGCTTCTCTTCTGCTTCCCTCCTCATTACTGTGTAGGTTATTTAAGGCGCTACAACTAGCGGGGCATCATTACAGACCTGGACAGAGTAGAGGAAAGTGTGTATAAAGCGGTTGTAAAGTGAGTGTAAAGTAGTATTATAAGTGTATAAAGTTCATATATTGGCGGGGATGAGGGCGTCTTTGTGTAGTAGTGTGCGGCTGTTCCTTCCACCACGCTACCCCAGGAACCTCTATTTCACCTGTTTTCTTATCTCCTGCGCTCTCCTCTACCTCCTCACCGCTTTAAAGTCCTGCGTGAAGCATCTATTGAGGCTCTGAGGCGGCGGAGTTAAAGGGAAAAGTATTATATAGGCGTGTGTAGGCCTATGTGTAGGCCGGCGTGGATCAGCTGATCTGAGAGAGAACAGCGGCGGCGTCAGCGGTGGGTTGCTCCAGTACAGTCATGGAAAACCTGCCATAATTTCCTCGTCTAGGGCCTCCTCGTCGTAGTATGTAAGTATGGAGGCGTGGGATAGTCCCATACACGTGGCGGGGGAGGCTGGAAGGGGATAGACAAGACGGTGAAGTTGTAATTTGCTTTTTTAGAGTGAGGGTGAAGGAGGGTGGGTCAGCTGGTGCGAGATGAAGGATGAATAACCCAGATGAATGACTGAACCACCGGTCTGTTATACATTACTGCTGCCACAGGTAGGCATGGTGTGCCATGCACTGACACTGAGTCAGCTATCACACTATATCGCTAAATTTTGAGTGGTGTAGGTCCTAGAATTGTTTAATAAAGGAAGATGAATGAATGACGGAGACGGTGAGGGATGAATAAGGATGTTAATTAACCTGCACCAGAAAATTACCCTGAAGAAATGGAAGTAATTAATAGTATAAGACAGTGATTGACACCTGACTTGTCATGAACCATAGATAGTGTAATGTTTGTTTATATCAATGATGAATTAGACACGTGTGGTATTGTATATCACAAATATATACTAGTTTCAGTAAGTCATATGTGAAGGTTTTAAGTTACACATAATTGGTGTTCACATCTGAATCTCATAAGTCATTAGTTAAACAAACAACATTTTATGGTAGTTTTAATAAAGATTATCATAATTCCTCTCAAAACTTTAAATACCATTAGTAAGTTTATCTAGGTACACATAAATAGTTATATAAATTATCATTCTTAGTAAATTACCAACAATAACCTAAAAACTTCAGGCTTATTTCCATTGGGGTCCTTGTATTTCCATTAATATTACTCGAGTAAACCTAAGTTTTATACAAGGTAATCTTCAAGTGATATAACGAACTAGTAATATTTGTACATTGAAGATACATATAGACATACATTAGTTATAAAGTGTGTAGACTTAATCTAGTATAACCTAACAAGGTAATTTACACACTTGCTGCTATGTATGATAATTTATGTAATTGTATTTGTGTCACTCTACCTGAATAAACTTACTTGCATACTAAGTGCTTCTTATTTCTTCTAGTTTACTTATTTATTTTGTCTTTAGTTTGTCATCTTATATTCACTCCTTAATTAAAGAAAAAAAAAAGTAAAATATAAGGTAAATTTTATATTTTAATTCTGGAAAAAGAAAATACCCACAAGACTACATAATACATACATAGATCATAAACCACATGCGAAAAAGACCTAGGATTAGTGGTTAGCAGATATCAAAATCTGAAGACAAGAATGTGTAAATGATTGGAATAAAGCTACTTATAACCTTCCTGACTTCATATGAAAAACTTCTTTACAAGTAACAAAAAGCATTATTGATACGAGTTCGTTAATATTATGCATCTCAGGTCTGGTTTCCGTACTACAGAGTGGACAAAAATATTCTGTGGATCATGTAGAGAAAGATAAGAGCATAAGAATGGAAAAGCACTGCAGAAGGTCTACTGGCCCTTGTTAGGCAGGTTCAACTAACACTTGCCCACATACACTCGTGTACCCATCCAATCTTGTCTCGTCTATTCTTAAAGGTACCCATAGTTCTTACCTCAGTGATTCTGCCTTTATCTGGCACTGTTGAGACCATTAATTACCCAACAAAAGGCTGCGGTCAGAAGAACAAATTCCCACTCCAGGCAGCACACTCCACCAATATTCAAAAGTCTAAACCTACTCGCCATACAAAACATTCATACTTATTACTGTACCTACTACATACATAGAACACTTAACTCAGATATAAACCCTCCCCTCAAATGTCTCCTTACCAACCTCAACAGAACACATGACCATAACACAAGGCACAGATCACTCTTTGATGCTCCTCTTGTCCACCTCGCAGTATGCAAAAACTCAATGCACATAAAAGGCCCTAAAATCTGGAATTCATTACATGTGAATATAAAAGAAATACTGTCTGTTTATAAATTCAAGTCTCTTCTGAAAAATCACTTACTCATCCACAACTAAATAAATACTGAATAATTGTATCACATAAATTGTATCTCATAAATGTCTAACCTGTGACCCAATCAAACTTTATTTTTTTTTAATTACATTACCTAACAGAATACTCCATTCTATTGAATGCACATCAACACAGTAAATGACCATATGACCTGTCTGTAATACTCACTTGTGCTAAATTGTTATCTGTTTGCAATAATGTTTTTACCACTGAATATATCATTGCTTAGTTAATCTTTAGTTAATTTTAAGCCTGCCCATAATGCTCTGCATACAAGGGGCTTTGGCATGTTGCACTTTAATAACTGTATTCCTTTGTACTTCTCTGTACCATGTGCAAATTAATAAATAAATAAAATAAATAAATGGCACTCAACTCCCTGGAAAGCTGAATAAGTGAAGTTACGATGAAAGTGTACACACTAACAATGTATTGGTTAATGTTCGGTCCAAGAAAGGTATTCCCAAATTGCACAATTCTGGCTCCCTGTATCTCGGTGTGTAATATTGTGGAGTTTGTGGCATAAATTCCTAAAGCAGTTACATAATGAAGATTTAAAGCAAATCAAACACAATTATTTCTTTCTGCAGTATACAATATGTTGTTTACATGTAATAAAATATTAAGCACAAAAAGCCACTAACGTGCTGCATTTCGGGCACTAGCATGCTGTGCATTTCAGAAGAGGTATTCAGTTATTACATGGAAACTAATACTGTATCCCAATGTCTTCAGTAAAATTTAATGTCAAATTAGGACATACAGGCCAAAACTAATTCCAACCTTAAACTTAAAAACTGAAGAAACATTCTCTTATTGCAGAAACCAATATCCTAAACTACATCAGCACATTAAGTTTAAAGCCACTTGGGGAACACTGCAGCAGGCCTGCTGGCCCATACTAGGCAAGTTTTTCTCAAACCAAAACCCTCTTTAACAAAAGTATTTACCCAACCCCATTCTGAAGACTGCCCAAGGAATAAACTTTGATAACCCCACTAACTCTTGATGTACAAGTCCCACTCAAATTCAGCTCCTCTTGTTCATGTATTTATCTAAAATATATTTAAAGCTACCCAAGATTTTTAGCCTCATTGATTCTACTAGGCAGATTGTTCCACTTATTGACTATATTTCCAAACCAGTACTTTCCTACATCCATTCCACAACTAAACCTGTCCAATTTGAATCCATTATTTTGAGTTTTCTTGGAGGGATATCCTCAGAATTTTATTTATGCTCATCTTCCATTTATACATTTCGATCATATCTTCCACTCGTTCATCATTAGCCTTTCTAAATCCTTCTGAAGTTCATTGGCATCTTTGTATTAGTCTGCCTACTTTTGTCATCAGTGAAATTGCTCATAACTCTTATTCCCTCAAGGTCATTAAACTGATCCTTGTGGAATGCCATTTATGACTAGATCCTACTCAATTTCACCTCATTTATGCAGCCTCTCTGCTTCCTATTGGTCAGCCATGCCTTGATTCATGATAACCCTTTTCCCTCAGTACCATGAGCTTCCATTCATTTTAAGTCTTTTGTGTTTCATTCTTCATGCAGGTTGTTTGTGGATTATGACCAGTGTTTAAATTTTCCTTATTTCTTCCATAAAGAGCAAATTGTAACATAAACAGACTAAATTGTTTCAGCTGGTCTCTAAAGTAAGATTGACCAACATTTAACCCCTTCACTGTTAAAAGTCCCAAAATTGTAAGTGCTCATAGACAAATTATTTTTTCTTTTAAAATGGTAGAAAATCTTTTTTCTGAATGTAATGACACCAAAAATACAAAATTTGATGAAAAGTTTTATGGAATTGTGCAGGCATGCAAGGTTAGCAGTCTCAGCACAATTTATGCTTTAGTAATTTTGCCCAGTTTGAGTCCTATTTTGGGCCAATTCCATTGCTCAATTTCACCAAATTCTTAGATACTCTGGAATGCCTTCCGTTCTGTCGATTGAGCACAGGAAACTTATTCAGCTAACAGAACTACCCTGTAAAGGGCACCAATTAAGTAATTTGGCCAATTTTACATAATTTAAAAGTTCATTTTAACCCTTTCACTATCCAGACCTCCAAAATAAAACTTTCTCTTAATGTCTAAAAATTAATAAAAAAAAATTTAGAGTATATTTTCCTGTTTGGTAATAAAAAACATTCCCATCAGTTCTTACTGAGATAGTTGTGAAGTTAATGTTTGATGACTGCCTGGCGGCAACTGCCCTGCACTCCACCTTTATTTAAATTCATCGGTACATAGGTGTCCCGAAGCTCGATCGCTAGCACACTCGGGTCACACACTGAGGTCCAGGGTTCGAATGTCCTCCGGTACGGCTGGAAGACATTAGGGACGTGTTTCCACAAGACACCTGCTGTCCCTGTCCCTGTTCACCCATCAGTTTAAAATGGGTACCTGGTTGTTAGTTGACTGGTGTGGGTTGCATAACAAGTGGCTTTCTATATACAGTGGACCCTCGACCAACGATGGCATCGATTAATGATAAATCTGACTAGCGATACATTTTAACGCAAAAATTTTGCCTCGACTAGCTCTTAAAAACCCGACCAGCGCTATTCGTTCCATACCATATGCATCCACTTTGGCCTGAGCGCGCCTCACTTGTCCCTTTGGTGCCAGTGTTTACAAGCCAGCCAGCCACCGCGGTCACTTCCAAACATGCAACTGGAACATTTCATATTATCACAGCCTTTTTAGTGATTGCACCTGCAAAATAAGTCACCAAGGGCCCCAAGAAAGCTTCTAGTGCCAACCCTACAGCAAAAAGGGTGAGAATTACTATGGAGATGAAGAAAGAGATCATTGATAAATATGAAAGTGGAGTGCGTATCTCTGAGCTGGTCAGGTTGTATAATAAGCACCAATCAACCATTGCTACTATTGTGGGCAAGAAAACGGCAATCAAGGAAGCTGTTCTTGCCAAAGGTGCAACTATGTTTTCGAAACTGAGATCGCAAGTGATAGAAGATGTTGAGAGACTTTTATTGGTGTGGATAAATGAGAAACAGATGGCAGGAGACAGCATCTCTCAAGCCATCATATGTGAAAAGGCTAGGAAGTTGCATGACGATTTAATCAGAAAAATGCCAGCAACTAGTGATGTGAGTGAATTTAAGGCCAGCAAAGGTTGGTTTGAGAGATTTAAGAAGCGTAGTGGCATTCATAGTGTGATAAGGCATGGTGATGCTGCCAGTTCGGACCACAAATCGGCTGAAAAGTATGTGCAGGACTTCAAGGAGTACATAGACAGTGAAGGACTGAAACCTGAACAAGTGTTTAATTGTGACGAAACAGGCCTGTTTTGGAAGAAAATGCCAAGCAGGACGTACATTACTCAGGAGGAAAAGGCACTCCCAGGACATAAGCCTATGAAAGACAGGCTTACTCTGTTGATGTGTGCCAATGCTAGTGGTGATTGCAAAGTGAAGCCTTTATTGGTGTATCTCTCTGAAACTCCCAGTGTGTTCAGGAAAAACAATGTCCTCAAGGCTAATTTGTGTGTGCTGTGGAGGGCAAACAGTAAGGCATGGGTCACTAGGGACTTTTTCTATGACTGGTTACATCATGCATTTGCCCCCAATGTGAAAAATTACCTAATTGAAAAGAAATTAGACCTTAAGTGCCTCCTGGTATTAGACAATGCTCCTGGTCATCCTTCAGACTTGGCAGAGCGACTTTCTAGGGACATGAGCTTCATTAAGGTGAAGTTTTTGCCTTCTAATACCACTCCTCTCCTGCAGCCCATGGACCAGCAGGTTATTTCCAACTTCAAGAAACTGTACACAAAAGCTATGTTTGAAAAGTGCTTTGTAGTGACCTCAGAAACTCAACTGACTCTAAGAGTTTTGGAAAGATCTTTTTACCATCCTCAATTGTGTAAACATTATAGGTAAGGCTTGGGGGGAAGTGACTAAGAGGACATTGAACTCTGCTTGGAAAAAACTGTGGCCAGAATGTGTAGACAAAAGGGATTTTGAAGGGTTTGAGGCTAACCCTGAGAATCCTATGCCAGCTGAGGAATCCATTGTGGCATTGGGGAAGTCCTTGGGGTTGGAGGTTAGTGGGGGAGGATGTGGAAGAGTTGGTGGTGGAGGACAGTGAAGAACTAACCACTGATGAGCTGCTAGATCATCTTCAACAGCAAGAGGGCACACCTGAGGAAACTGCTTCGGAGGAGGGGAGAGAGAAATTGAAGAAGTTGCCTACTTCTAAGATAAAGGAAATGTGTGCAAAGTGGCTTGAAGTGCAAACCTTTTTTGATGAAAATCACCCTGACACGGCTACTGCAAGCCGTGCTGGTGACTATTACACTGACACTGTTGTGAACCACTTTAGGAAAGTCATAAAGGAACGAGAGGTACAGGCCTCTATGGACAGATATGTTGTGCGACAGAAGTCCAGTGACTCTGAAGCTGGTCCTAGTGGCATTAAAAGAACAATTGAAGTAACCCCAGAAAAAGACTTGCTGCCTCAAGTGCTAATGGAAGGGGATTCCCCTTCTAAACACTAATGCCTCTCCCCTCCTCCCATTCAATCAATCATCACCAGATCTTCAATAAAGGTAAGTGTCATGTAACTGTGAATGTAATCTTCAGTTTGTGTGTATTAAAATTAATATTTCATGTGGTAAATTTTTTTTTTTTTCAATACTTTTGGGTGTCTTGCACGGATTAATTTGATTTCCATTATTTCTTATGGGGAAAATTAACTTGACTAACGATAATTCTGACTAACGATGAGCTCTCAGGAACGGATTAATATCGCTGGTCGAGGGTCCACTGTAATAGTATGTCATTGATGTCAGCTAGGCCTGTATACCTTGTACTTGTAGTAAATAAAGATATTATTATTATTATTACAAAACTTGTTCACACAACTAAAAACACATACAGACACAGGGCATATTCCTAGAACTGTTGCAGTCTGTGGAACTCTTTGAAACACAGCTTCATTCACAGCAGTGTTTTATCTCTCACAAAACTAGTGTCTGTGTTTTTCTAGGTGTCTTGTGTGTACACAGACCTAATGTTTCTTGTCTTGAACAGGAATTGTCACTAGGAAGTGACAACCATGCCTCAAATGAGAGGGTATTTGTCAATCAGCTTGGGGGAGCAGGTGTTCTGCAGGTGTTGTGACCTGGTATTTGCATATTATTTGCCTGATGACAAGCAAACAAAAGTGGGCATGCAGTGGTCTGTTCCTGGTCCTCGTTGGGTACATATATGCATTGAGCATTGAAATGTCCACGAGATGGAAAAAGTTTCATGTACCACTTACAACTCTTGGAAACGCGTAAGCAAATCCACTCTGTATGTCATATTTGTCTGCAAAATGCATATTGATGGTGTAATCAATGACAGCCACAGATTTTAGAATGGGTTCATGGATGTCTATACACCCTTCCAGTGTCTTCATTTTGTTGTGCCGAATTGAGGTCAACAATGTCACATCTCGTTTGTTAGGCCACTGTAATGCCATGATGTCACTGGCATAAAATGCCTGCACCTCACCAGTACCAATGCCCAGGGCATGCGTTTGTGTTCCACATACGTCTGTCTTTTTCACATGTATGATATCACTAAGGGGCTTGTGTACTAGTTATCTGTTTGTAATGTATGCCCTTTACCAAGATATGGTTCCATCATTGCTCTCTCCACATCACCTGTGATACCCAATAACTTCTTGGTATCTTTTAATGTTTTGCTTCCTGTGTATGCAATTAGATACAATACCAGATTGGTTTCACAATCACACAACACAGCTTGATACCAAAGTGTTTCCTCTTGCTTAGTATATACTGCTTGAATAACAGTCAGCCATTGAAAAGTATCAAAAACTCATCGATGACATGATTTTTGAAGAGATAAAACTACCTACTGAACT